CATTCCCAAGCCATATCTCCATTGACGCATTTTGTACCCGCGTCTGATGAAGTAGTAGTAGTAATCGGGGTCACAGATGCCCTTGAAGATTGACCCCCTTCTCTACTTTCCATTGCTTTTTTTAGTAATTAAGTTCTTAGTTCTAAGTTCTAACTAAGACAAATAAGAATAATCAAGTGAGTGGGTGGGTGATAGTAAGACCTGGAGGCTGGAAGCTGGATTACAGTTGCTGTCGCTGTCAAAGAGTCGATTACAGTTGCTGGCTTGCTGCAACCTGGTAAGCAGAGGAGATCGAGAAGTTGAAGACTTGAAGTCGAAGTCTGAAGAAGAAGTCGAAGTCTGAAGACTGAAGTTGAAGTCGAAGTGTGAAGAAGAAGTCGAGACTCTGAAGTTGAACGTGAAGAAGTCGAAGTCTAAAGAAAGAAGAAGACGTTGTGGAACTATTTTAAGATTCAGACCTAGTTTAATTATCAGCCCAAAAACTTTGGCCCATGGAATAACAAATTTAAGTTATCAGCCCAAAAAATTAGGCCCATGAAATAACAAAATAAGTTATCAGCCCAAATTTTTAAACCTTGTAAAATCGGTATATCAGACCGATTTTTACCTCAAAATATCGCTAAAAATCGCTAAATATCGCCGATAATATCGTTCTCGATATTTTGACCGATATTTGAGTTCCGATATTTTTTTACGAGCGATATCCGATATATCGCCGATATATCGACGATATATCGCGATATTAACAGCATAGAGAAATTTCATCATTGTATTCATGTTATTCTGTTAGTGAGTATATTTATTGATGAATATATTATATCTGCTTCGACGACTGTATTGTGTTATGCAGATGAGTATATTCCATCAATGAATATACCTTATGGTGCTGTTTGTTTTTTCAAAACAAATCTCTTGTTAACCTCTTAAGTCTTACAAGATAAGAGGTTGGACTAATAAGACCGTTTGTTTTTTCTGCTAAAACCTCTAACCATCCTCTTATTGAATAAGAGGTAAACCACATTAAGAGGGAAACAAACAGCCCCTTATTGTCCTCTTACCTTCTTCCTCTTATCCAAACATGATCCTGGTTTAATGGACCATCCATCACCCGTTCGCATTCGTAGAGAAAAACATGAAACCCACCTCCACTTTTGAGTTTTGATTTCATATTGCCCACCAAGATTTTGAAAAAAATATATTTTTCTTTTGTGTTTCGAGTTTATAAAAAATAAAAATGAGTAATAAATGTGTACATTTTCATAAACCAAATTCATTTGTAAAATTTTATACGCAATAGTTATAAAAATGTAAAATGACGTTGGTTGTTTATAATTTACTTTCAGACATTTATTAGTTTACAAAAACAAACAATCTAATTAGTTGTGCTTCCAGAATTCACTGCCACTTCTTATTAATAAGAAGTGATATAGGACTTCGGACTTCAACACCTCTTAAAAAACAAATGACACCTATGTGAACTTCATTAATGTATATGATTCACCAAATCAGTACATTCATTGATGAATATACATCATATGAACTTCATTATGGACGTTACTATATGATGCACAAATGAATCCCCTCTTGTGTAGCTTCTAACTCAAGTCTAAACGACCCAAGAATGTCAAACTATATATATTTGACAAGATATAAAGATCACTTTCAAAAAGCTAAAATTTTTGTTGTTTGATTATGAGTATGGTTTTATGATATTAGATAATATTTATAAGTTTATTGTCTATTTCAAAGAGACCAATTATATAGAGTTAAAAGTAATACGCCAAAACCATTGGTTAACTACTAGTTGTAACTTTGCCTTCGTCTTAAAAAAATTAAAAGTTAACCAATCTATCTTAAAAGAGCCCTCCAAAAACCTCAATCTCATGAGAATAGGCAGAGGTTAGTATTAAATCAGTCAAGGAGATCAGTCGGCAGTAAAACATTGATGATAAGGAAACAAATTACGGAAGTAGGTAAGGGATGATTATGTGTTCGGGGATACATGAGGAGTAAGCATGGACAAAAGGAGTAAGCATGGACAAACTGTATACGGTTTCTTTCCTTGCATTGCTGTCATAGTTGTAGTCAAACGATCCTTTCTTCTTACCCTCTGTTTCTTTCTTCTATTTCAAAGAAAGTTTCTCCATTTTTTTTGGAAATTAAGCTCATAAAGGCCTTCTCGTCGTTATAAGAAATTCAACAGTGAGTATACACTACTAATACATAGGACCCGGAAAAAACCCTGTTATAGAAAACCGGAAAAATATAACGTTTTGGGTGGCAAATTAAAAAGAATAAAATGCTTGTTTTTTTGGTATAATTTGTTTGATTCATTTTATTATAATTTATATATTTTTTATTTAAAAATAAGGGGTAATCTATTGTAGTTTTAAAAATATAGTTTTATTTATATGTAATTTGGGAAGGGTGTTTTTTAATGATTTTTGTGCCATTTTTAACTGAAAAAAGTCGTTTTATGAGAGTCATAAGATTTAACAGGTTGGGTGGTTGAGATAGGTTCCCATGTCTCAAAATAATTGTGGTTCTCATATGATCCCAACTCTCGCTCTCTCTCTATATAGAGAGGTTCATTTGAAAACCACAAATATTTTGAGAACCAGAGGACCAATCATGGCCATCCAATGCATTTAATCCTACAACTCTTGTTTAAATGAACATTTTAATTAAAAAGGGCACAAAGGTAATTTAACCACCTTTGTCATCTCATTCGTTCTCGTGTTAAGTCACTTTCATTTTCTGTCACCCTATATAGCCTACATTCAATTGTAATAGGACTTTCAACCACTGTTGTTTCTTACATGGCTTCTGAAGCTCGTTGTCATTTCAACGACTCTTGTTTCTTATAACTAATATCCATCAATCTCTTCTTCTTTGTATGAAACTGGACCAAATAATTAATATATCCTTCTTATATTCGCTAATTGTATATACTCATTGCATCTTTTGTGTGATCGTGTCCTTATCATTAACCTGAAGTAGCATTTCATGTGCTTTGTTTTCTGGCTTAATTGAGGGCCCTTAGATGGCTAAGTGTTCATCTAAACATCAATGATTTATTAACGCACTGCATAGTTTCATGAGTCAGCACTATATCATTGCCAAAAAGCATTACCATGGTAGTTCATTTTGTATATTTTAGGATACAATTAAAGCTGCGCCCATACAAACTCTTCCACATTCCTGCTGCCCCTGATTTGAGAGTTACGATGAAGGGAGATGCACCCCTGTTACTTTAGATAATCTGTTTTATCCTAAAATATGATTTTGATTCGATCATGGATCTCCATTGTTTATAAATAATACTCTTGTTTGTTGGTGATCTAAAACCACTTATCATATTCCCAATTTAAGTTCGAGAATTATTTGGGCTATTATTATGTTACATTTTTAGTTTTTTTTATCATATTTAATCTTTTCTTGTAATATAAAATTGTTTTGGTTTTGTTATCATATTAAATTGGATTTTATTTTCAAATAGTTGTGGCACTTGTACTTCAAAAAAAATTAAAAATTAAATTTGAGACAACTAATAGGACATGCCTTCAAAATTATATTTGAGGTTTATAATTGTGTCATAGGGTTCAATGGAAATAAAATTCTTCTTGTATCACATTATGAATTCTCAAAAGTATTTGTGGTTACTCTCTTTGATATTTGCTTCTCTTCATGGGTTGAGGTTATATATATTTTTGTTACCCAAGTTAAAACTCAGTTATTAATATGCATTCTTGCTATGATATATAGCCTCATGTGATTTCCTATTCTCATTTTTTCTTGTTGACCAATCGATACCAGGATAATAAAGATTTAACATCAAACAGTGCAAGTGACGGTTCAGTTGGTGCTCCACGAGATTTTAGCTCCCCAGACGCTTCTATTAGCTCAAATTCAAATACTTCTCCTATGAACTATCATCCAGAAAATTCTGCTAATATCGAGAGGTCACATGCAGCTTTGGACCAAACAAATATGCAAGTCAAAGGATTTGGTTCCGATGCTTTTAGGGTTAGTGTTTCTAGTGCACCAAGTACCTCTAGTCATGGATCAGCCCAAGACGACTATGATGCTTTAAGGGATGTGTATATATGGGGGGAGGTAATCTGCGATAATATTGTCAAGTTGGGTCCTGATAGAAATGCTAATCCTCTGAGCACAAGAGCTGATGTGCTTCTACCTAGGCCATTAGAATCCAATCTAGTTTTGGATGTGAATCATATAGCATGTGGAGTGAGACATGCTGCCCTTGTCACTAGGCAAGGCGAAGTATTTACATGGGGTGAGGAATCTGGAGGAAGGCTTGGTCATGGGTTTGAAAAAGATGTTACCCAACCTCGTTTAGTCGAGTCTTTGGCTGTTTCCAATGTTGATTTTGTTGCATGCGGTGAGTTCCACACTTGTGCTGTCACACTTTCTGGCGAGCTTTACACATGGGGAGACGGCACACATCATGCTGGGCTTCTTGGGCATGGTACAAATGTCAGTCACTGGATACCTAAGAGAATTGGTGATCCCCTTGAGGGACTTAAAGTTGCATCCGTAACGTGTGGTCCATGGCATACCGCTTTCATAACATCAACTGGGCAACTCTTTACCTTTGGGGATGGGACATTTGGTGTTTTGGGTCATGGAGATCGGGAAAATGTCTCATGCCCAAGGGAGGTGGAATCTCTATTAGGATTGAGGACAATTGCTGTTGCCTGTGGTGTATGGCACACAGCTGCTGTAGTGGAGGTAATTGTAACACGCTCTAGTTCGGGTGTTTCATCTGGAAAATTATTTACTTGGGGTGATGGGGATAAAAACCGTCTTGGTCATGGAGACAGAGAACCTCGCCTTAAGCCTACATGCATCCCAGCACTTATTGATTACAATTTTCATAAAGTTGCTTGTGGGCATAGCTTGACTGTAGGTTTGACCACATCAAGACATGTTTTTACCATGGGCAGCACTGTTTATGGTCAACTCGGGAATTCTGAGTGTGATGGAAAGCTACCTTGCTTAGTAGAAGATAAACTAGCGGGGGAGGCTGTTGAAGAGATTGCTTGTGGTGCGTACCATGTGGCAGTATTGACCTCTAGAAATGAAGTATACACATGGGGAAAGGGTGCTAATGGGAGATTAGGCCATGGAGACATCGAAGACCGTAAAACACCAACTTTAGTCGAAGCATTGAAAGATAGACATGTTAAGTATATATCTTGTGGTTCAAACTATACAGCAGCAATATGTCTTCACAAATGGGTTTCTGGTACCGAGCAATCTCAATGCTCGTCTTGTAGACAAGCTTTTGGGTTCACTAGAAAGAGGCACAACTGCTATAACTGTGGACTCGTGCACTGTCATTCATGCAGTTCAAAGAAAGCTTTAAGAGCTGCATTGGCTCCTAATCCTAGCAAACTACACCGAGTTTGTGATTCCTGTTTCGTTAAATTAAACAAGATGGCAGAAGCTGGTGTCAGTAACAGACGGAATGTCATGCCTCGTCTCTCTGGTGATAGATTGGATAAAGCTGAAATGAGATTAGCATCTAATCAGGATTTAATTAAGCTGTTAGATAACAAAGCGGCCAGACAACAAGGGAAGAAAGCTGATCTTGGTCGTTCTTCTCAAGCTACTTCCTTGTTACAGCTTAAAGACGTTGTATTGGCTACTGGTGGTGATTTCCGTTATATGGTTCCGAAACCAATTCTTACTCAATCTGGTGTTAATTCCAGGTCTGTTTCACCTTTCTCAAGGAAACCAAGTCCTCCACGTTCGGCAACACCCATTCCTACAACATCAGGACTTTCTTTCTCTAAAAATGTTGCTGATAGTTTAAAGAGAACAAATGATCTCTTGAATCAAGAAGTTGTTAATTTACTTGGCCAGGTAGATCTCAATATTTTAAAAAAAGGGTGTGTTTTGTTTTGTTTAGAGATGCTGTTCTCTTAAAAACTGGTTATGGTGGATCTTGTTCAGGTTAACAGCCTTAGACATCAATGTGAAATGCAAGAAGCAGAGCTTCAAAAATCAAGAAAACAAGCTCAGGAAGCAATGGTATTGGCTGCAGAGGAATCTGCTAAATGTAATGCTGCCAAAGATGTGATAAAATCTCTTACTTCACAGGTACTTACTTGTCAAATTATATTCGAGTTAAAAGCTTTCTTGCAAGTTGCAACCTATCTTGATGGTAAAAGTGCACTGTAAGAATTATTTATGAAAACAAGGATTTCTTGGAGTTATTTTATGACAACAAATTATAGGCTCCCTTGCTTATGTAACTTGCCTCACTTACATCAAGTTAAATCCCGATATATTCTCTCACTTTTAAAAGTTGTACCATGACAATGGAACATTTGAGAATTGAAAACATCTAAAATGTACAAAACTTAGTACACTTTTAAAAAATACCAACACTTGGTATTTTAATTTAAAAAAAAAAAAAAATTATTTTTGATAAGTTTTAACTAATATTTTTTTTTATTTGTTGGTAATAGTTTTTTAAATATTGTTAACCTTAATTCTGCTTACCCATTCAAACATTTGTCAGTTTAAAAAACAGTCTTATTGATTCTGCTTTCAGAATTCAACACCACCTCTTATCAATAATAAGTGAAATAAGACTTAGGGGCCGTTTACCTAAATGCTTACCCGATAAGCGCTTATCGTTAAGAGTCAACACTAGAATTTATTTTATCGGGTAAGATTGTAGTACATCAAAACGTATCTTATGCAACAATTTACTTGGTAAGCGCTTACTCGGGTAAGAGTCGTCACCCTCATTTACCGGGTAAGACACTCCATTCTTATCATCGCTCTTACCGGGTAAGATTCTTGCCCCTTGCCATGTTCATCCGGTAAGGAAAATTGCCCAGTAAGTACTTACCGGGTAAGCGTTTAGTAAACGGCCTCTTACTTCAGCACCTTGTTAAAAAACAAACATCACTTTAGAAGTAGCTCTATTGGTTCATGGAAAGAGAAAATATTAAAGCAGAACATATAATTGCTTTTTTACTAAATATACTTTGCTGAAATTCTGAAATGAAGATTAGTGAATTCAAAATTTCAGCTTTCAGGCTATACTACCAATGATTCTGATTTATCTTTTTTATAATTGATGTTGGGATTAAAGAATTTTTCCCTGTATTACAAATATGAACTTGTACCTTAAGGGCTATTCATATGTATTGCAGCTTAAGGATATGGCGGAGAGATTGCCAGCTGGGACGTATGACCTTGACAGCATCAAGCTACCAAACGGTCTGGATCCCAATTGCACTTCTGATACAACAAATGGAGAGAATGAATCAAGATCTAATACTTGTTACCTCATCTCTCCATCGTCTACTTCTATCAACAAAACATTCACTGAAAACAAGGAACCACCTATACGGACCACCTCTAATGGGAATGATGGCTATTCAGATGCTGCCAGATCTCTTAATGGCACAGCGGTAGAAATGGAAAACAAGTATTTACAAAGGGAGGATAACGGGTTCAAACCTAGAAATCCAGTGGTGCCTAGTAGTAGCAGTAGTAGTAATGCAACGGATCAAGTTGAGGCTGAATGGATCGAACAGTATGAGCCTGGTGTCTACATAACACTTGTGGCTCTCCGTGATGGAACTAGAGATCTCAAAAGAGTGCGTTTCAGGTATATAAATACACGTACTCTCTTTCTTGATTGATTTACTAAAATGACAAACCAATGCTCTTCATGAAATACTCCCTCCGTCCCATTTCTATTTTAGTTTGCCTTAATATAAATGTCCACTTTCAAAAATAAGTCCCTACTTTCCAATTCTACCCTTAATTATGGATGGAGAAACTCATTACTCCACTTCACGAAGTTCAAGACAAAGGAATAAAAAAGACTYTCTCTATGGCCTCCTCGTTTTGAGACATTATGGCTTTGGGGTCGACCCCGGTAACAAAGAAGGAATCCATAAAAWCTTAGGATCCGACACCATGATAAAATACTACCGTCATGATTAGACCATGTTCCTGAGATTTGATAAAAGAAAGGTGCATTTGCGAATATTGATTGCATAAGCTAGCCAGCCCTCTTCTTGCTTCCATCCGCCTATTACTGTTAGGTTAGGTGGGCCGACCTTAGGCTTGACAGCTAGAAGCTTTGTTTCTTTGTTCTCTTATTTGGATTGAAAGAGAAAAAACTTCCCTTTCTTTCAAGTTGGGTTTCCAGGGTGTGCTTTGCATTACGGGTGTGGTGAGTGGCATAGCTAGCGGCATAGAAGCCGACTCGGCATCAGCGGCTTCGAGGCGCAGCCCCCCCCTCCCCCCCCCTGCCAGCCGGCTACCTCCTCGTGTTCGTAGCTCGATCGGAGGCCAAGACTGGTCCGGCGGAAAAACTCATTACTCTATTGTCAAGGGTAAAATTGTCATCTAATTAATTGAAAGATGTACTTATTGGGTATTTCTAAAACTGTGTATGCATTTTGGGATGGAGGGATTAACGCATTTGGTATGCCCGTGTATCATTCTCCTTGTCCCGTAAACGTTACAACAGACAGACAATCTACTGTAGTAAAAGTGTTCCTAAAATTCTACTTCCTCTGCCCCCAAAATAAATTTCCATTTTCCACGGTGAAAAATGCAGTGTGTAGAAATAAGTAATTATTACATTTTAATAAAAAAAATGACAATTTTACCCTTAGCATTAGAGAGTAATTAATTGCTTCATCTCATAATTAAGGATAGAATTGAAAATAGGTATTTTTTTTAAAGTGGACACTTATTTTGAATCAAACTTTAACTAAAATAGAAACGTGAAGTATTTAGGGGACTAAACTAAAACCATCATGTAAATATCCCATAATGGAATGAGGTAGCCAGAAATAATATACATATTGTTGGAGGGTTACTTGGAAGTGAAAAAAGAAGTTAAAACCTTGTTTGTTCAGCACTAAATTCGTATAGCTTATTGGGGTTTTTTTTCCTTTTTCTGATTATGTCTCTTATATTTCTTTTTTAGTCACCATCGTCTTAGTTTTTATAAAAAATGACTAGTTTATTAATGAACATCTGGTTTTTACCAAACAATTTGTCGTTTTAGTAAAATATCTGTATTTTATTACCATTTATGGGAAGTAATATATTTCCAAAATTGTTAAAAAGATAAAGTTGGTGATATGGTGCAGTCGTAGGAGATTCGGGGAGCACCAAGCGGAAACATGGTGGTCAGAAAATCGTGAAAAGGTTTACGAGAGATATAATGTGCGAGGGTTGGATAATAAGTCAACGGTCTCTTCTTCTCGAAGGTCAGGCGAATCTGTAGCAGCACCAACACAGTAGCAGAAACACCATCCAGATATGGCTGAAAGAAAGAAAAGCAAGACAATTCTTTTTAATTTCATTCCCCTGCCTTTCTATTGTTATTTTTAGAGGCTTCACGTTAATACAAATATTGTGCTGTAGTGTACATAAACTTCATTTATTAAATATTATAAATTATATATTAAATATTATAAATTATATATCTATTTAACCACCAACCATCCAACATACTTATCAGGGAAATTGACCAAAAATAGACATTTATCACTCTTAAATTGGTCTCTTAGCCGTTCCTCTCCTAGATTTACCTAAATGTCTCTATCTTCGCAAGTTCCATGTCCGTCACTTGCAGACCTAGCTAAAAGACAAAAAAATTATCAGATTTGATCCATGTCCGTGATTGCTACAGCCAGGTTCAACAATTTGAATTTTTTTGTCTTTTGGTTGGGCGGACGTGGAACTTGCAGACCTGGTGATATTTGGGTAAATCAGAGAGAGGAATGACTGAGAGACCAATTTATGTGAGATAAATAGCTATTTTGACCAATTTTTCTTATTTATTTGTTATATCATCATGTGTGTTTTTTTTAGGGAAATACATGTAGTTGGTTGGATCATGGATGTGGTCAAGGTAGAGGTGGTTTTTTTGCAGGTTTGTGCCGTTAAATATTTTGAGAACCAATATCCTATTTGAAGTAAATGAATATATTTATCAATGCATATGTATAATTGATAGAATACATATGTTGATGGTGTATGTGCATAAATGAATATAATGTTATCTTGGTTCTCAAAATATATTCTCGTATGAACCTGGCTGAGTTTAACCAATTTTTTTATTCGATTGGCCTAATCTTTTATTCTCAAAATATTTATCATTCTCGTATGAATCCTCCTATGGGCCTAATGATGGCTAAGTTTAACCAATCTTTTTATTCGATTGGTCTAGTCAAGCCTTCTTGGCCGGGCTTGATAATTAGCCCTTATCCGTCTTGTAAATTGGTTGGGTTTGCCTACGGTCTAACAAACCTAGAAAGTCTTACATTGAAAAAGGATTCATGCAAAATCACAAAGTATGTAAAACTATTTAAATATGTTATTTTTTTCTCAACTTATATTACGAATTAGTACATAAATAACTTAATTAATTTTGGGATCTAGGATTAAGGCCGTCCATTAGTTAGCGACGTTGATTAGGAACTGATATTATAGATTTTTTGAAGGAAGTATTTGTAAGAAATTGCTCAAACTGGGATTTGTTTGGCCGTTAGCCCAATCTGTAAGGGTTGATGTTGATTCTCTCTCTCAGTGATTTGATGATAATCCCTTTTCTCTTTCACGTTGTATTTGTGTTTCTGTATTTTCAGTTCCAGCGATCTTCATTGAGTATGTTCAGTGATCGCTGAAGAACTTGCTTTGTAAATCTTTCAGAAACAACAATACTTCAAGAAGACAACACTCACACCAAAGAACCTTCA